CAGGCCAGGAAGTCAGTTTCTGTCATGACACGCTACTTCAATAAATGACTCAACTGGTCCTGCAGGTCAGGTGACTGTTCAACACTAGAAATCAAAACAGAGGAAAGGGTGGTCTGAAGTGATCAGGAAAGACATTTCTTTGTATAATCTATCCTTTAATGCATCAATCTTGTTACCTACTTGGGCCTCAGAGGTGTTTAAACTCTGCATCTGGCACTGTGGCACAATTGTTTGTTCCGTTACTCAGGGGGCTAAGGCAGGGGGAGGATCACTTGAACCCAAGAGTCTGAGGCCACCATGGAAATACAGTATGATTCCATCACAAGGTTGGAGAGGAAAGTAAACCATGAAGAAGGGTTTGTGCGGATGGCATGGTGGCACACACCTGTGACCAACCACTCAGGAAATGGAGTCAGGATTGTAAGTTCAGGTTAGCCTGGACTACATAGTGGGAGGCCTTAAATTTAAAAGAAAAAAAGCTTACAAAAACTTAATATAGCTAATAAAATGAGAGCATTTAATGACTTTAATACGTTTGCTCTATTTATGAATATTACCAGCATAAACAGATGTCTATTCCTAAGGGTGACCTCTGTACCCTGTAACTTCTAGAACTTAACAGGCAGTGAATCCAGTTTCTGCACACCTTTAAAATACATCATGTTTTTTAAATTTCTAGAATTTTTTAAATTCTAAGAGATCCAGAACATAGTCATTTAAAGGCATGTGTCAACCAGTTTTCCACTGATCCTGGGTACAGCAGTGCCACTCCCAGCATGCTTCAGTCATCCCCACCCACCTCCTCTGAGATCACTTACTTCTTCTGAATAGCTTCTTGCCTAGGTCAGGAAGGGGGAAAAAAGGAAAGAAACAGGGATACCCAGTGAACCAAGAGAAGTTATCATCAGCAGAATACACCTGGCTTAAACTTAGTATGATTACATGGAGACTAATAACCACATAATCAATATGTACACACGTAAAAACAGCTTCAACATTAGCTATCAGGATTTGAATTCTCAGCCACACAATCCCAATAAGGTATACAAGCATCTTATCGACCACATAAAATATAAGACAAGAAAAAATACAACAAAAGGCAAATTCAATTATAGTTTTCTTCAAAATTACAATGAAGGCCCTGTCTGTGCACAAGAATCTGAATGATTTCTATGTTACTGGTGCTGTGTTATATACAGGATACCAGCTACCATCACACTCCATTCTTTAGGGGAGGAAAGACACTGAGCACAGAGTGGACAGACACTGATCAAGTGTCTCCCAGGTGCCACACAGTGGTAGCGTGGTCCTGACAAGCTCTGCCCCATGGGTTCTTCCTCCCTGTAGAGCTCCCAGTTAATACAGGGAAGTTCAAAACAAGAGGCTCCAGCTTCACTCCCCCATATCTCAACTTTCCCTGAAGCCTCAGCATCTTTCCTCTTGATAAACCGACCTACCTCCATCCGGCTCCCGCCTCCATCCTGCTCCCCCACCCCTGCCCCCCGACCTCCATGGGAAGATGTGCCCAAGCAGGAAAGAAACGAATGAGCACAGGCCGAGGATAAGGATGCTGCAGTCAGTGACTGCTGGTTAGGGCATACTCACTGATACTGAAGATGTGTTGTTATTATTGCCATTTTCCTTAAACTCTGCATAATAGAGAGAGAAACAGAATAGTCCATTTTCCTGTTGGGACATGGTGGCATGTGCTTATAATGAGATGGTGATAGGTGAACCCCTAGAAGCTCCCTGGCCACCCACTAGCAGCTACTTGGCGAAGTTCCAGGGCAATAAGGGAACTGATGTTAAACAAAAGGTGGGAGGCACCAGATGAGTGACCTGCACACACATGTACACACATATGCACACGTGCATCCACACCCACACAAGCCACATTTAGATGCTGTGACAGACCAGGCTGCCCGTCTACTCATGAAAAGCTGTCTGTAAAAGAAGAAATAAAGACACCATGGAAAGGGGAGCAGAGAGCTGGGGAGCCTTGCTACCAGAGTTGGAGTTTTTGCTTTTCACTAAGTCTGAAATGCTTCTATGGCCTGCCTTTTCTGTGGTTTAATTCCTCAGATTTTCCTAGGATTCCATGAGTCACTGAATTCCACTTCCTATTTCTTCTTGTTCAAGTTTGGTTTTGGCACTTGCAGCCAAGATTTGCACAAAGAAAAAGAGGCAATGCAGACAGTTGGTATAAACTGTGTCCATGAGGGTACAGAACCTGACTTTGTCTTGAGTTTCACTTTTCACTTGCTCTGGGGAAGCTATAAAGATGTCAATGTCCCAGGCTGGAGATACAGCTCCTAGCCTAAAGGGCACCTGCTGCTCTTCCAGAGGACCCTGGCTTGGTCTTCAGCAACTATATGCCGGCTCACAACTAGCTCTAACTCCAGTTCCAGGAGATCTGATGCCCACTTCTAGTCCCCACAGGCACCATACACTTAAAATGTACATATGAACCAGGCACACACATGGTACACATACATACACACAGACAAAACATTCATACACATAAAATTGTATATATCTAAAAACAAAAACAGAATTTGGCTGAGGCTGAAGTTTAGAGGGTGTAGGATGCCTGCCTCGGGTAAACGAGACCCTGGGTTCAATACCAAGTACTGCATAAACTGGGTGCAGTGGCCCACGCCTGGAATGCCAGCATGCTAAATAGAAGCAAAAGGACCAGAAGTTTAATGTACTTCCAGCTACACAGTGAGCTCTGCACTAGTGGGCTCCATGAGAGCCTGATCCAAAGAGAAAGAATGAAAAGGGAGACAGACTTCAGAGTCTATGGGTCAGCCAGGCGCAGGTGGTGGCACACACCTTTAATCCCAGCACTTAGGAGACAGAGGCAGATGGATCGCTGAGTCTGGGGTCAGTCTGCTTTACAGAGTGAGTTCCAGGACACGCAGGGCTACACAGAGAAACCCTGTCTCGCACCTCCCACAAAAGAGTCTGGGGTGCAATGAGAGGAAAATGTGAAGGAAAAGGGGCCTGGGAAGAAGCTCAAGGACTGGGGGATCTATCTACAGTGGTGTGTGTGTGTGTATGTGTGTGTGTGTGTGTGTGTGTGTGTGTGTGTGTGTGTGTGTGTGTGTGTACCTGTGTGTGTGTGTGTCTGTGTGTGTGTGTGTGTGTAGTCTACAGAGTGAGTTCCAAGACAGCTAAAGCTACACATGAACCAAGACCTTTTCCAGAATGACAGATGAATTCACTGACACTTCACAGCATTTTATCATTTAATTCTTCCAGGTTTACCTTTTTAACAAGGAATATCATAGAAACAATCTTAGTATTAATCTTAGTATTAATCTTAGAATCTTTCTAGATTCCACAAACTTTTCTCCTATGTTTTTATCATTGATTTGCTCATAATTTAAGTCTGTGTGTGTGTCTGTGTGTGTCTGTGTGTGTGGGTCTGTGTGGGTCTGTGTGTGTGAGTTCGAGACCAGCCTGGTCTACAGAGTGAGTTCCAAGACAGCTAAAGCTACACATGAACCAAGACCTTTTCCAGAATGACAGATGAATTCACTGACACTTTACAGCATTTTATCATTTAATTCTTCCAGGTTTACCTTTTTAACAAGGAATATCATAGAAACAATCTTAGTATTAATCTTAGTATTGAGAATCTTTCTAGATTCCACAAACTTTTCTCCTATGTTTTTAATCATT